GACAGTCACAGGAGACAGCTAGTAGTGTTAAAAAGTTGTCAGTGACAAGATGACAAGATTGGCGAGTCACAAGGTTTAAATCACGCCTCGTTGCTATTGAAAAGGAAATTTCCTCATACATGTGCCCTTGGCTGCCTCCGTTACATATGAGTGCGCTGCGCATCTTGCAATTTTGTTAGTTCACGTGCGGCTCCTATGTAAACAGTGGTAACTGAAAAAATCCTCTTTTTAAAAGAATACGTGACATTTAATGACTTTATTTAGATTTTTAAATTATTATTTTTAATCCTCTTGATTACTTCTATTATTAATGCATTCAATTCTCCCAGAATTGTATTTTTTTTCTAAATAAATGTATCTTAGAAACACCATTTAGGAAGAAACCATCCTTTGATAGGAAAAAATTCAATTATTACTCATTATTATATCAGAATTTGATTATAACGCTAATTAACGCTTAACGAGTAAAACTCAATCTTCAAGTTTAAATACATATTTAAAAATAATATTTAAACACAAGTTAAATAAACTTAAATATATTTAGATAGCAAAAGCTGATCACCTTGACGTTATATGACTAAAGGTCGGCACGTGTAGTGTAGAGACACTTAACTGAACTTCTCTAAGTTTATAGAAAATTAAAAAATATAACGATCAGTTAATTATAACCTAAAAATCTGTCAATTTTTCAAACATCGAATCGTTTCGGAGACATTGTAAAACTTTTAAACAAGCTTAAGTGCCTGTCCCACCAAATTGTAAATTGTCTGATAAGAATCCAACATGTAAAATATATGTGGAAATATCGGATTTTGTTACCTTATCTGACAGTGACGTCATTTTTACGCTATATGCCAGTGGTGGGATAGCCTTTTAGTGTAATTTTAGGTTTGCTTACATTATGCGCAGATGTAATAAATTTAATCTAAAAATGCTCCTATGTAAAAGACCGTAACCTATAATTTTGCTAGTCACATTCTAGAAATAAATGTTTCGATAACCTTACAAACCTATAACAATTTAGATGGCCTAGATCTAATTGTATTTGTTACAATTATAAGGTTTCCCACAACATCCTTTGTTATAGTAAATTGAACATAACATTTTGCTAAGTGTATAAACACCCGAACACATGTGTATAAATATTTTTATTAGACCGCAATGTTTCGACTAGACTAGTTGTGGGAATAATATAAGCATCAAGACGAGTTAATTCATACATCATCTGTCTATCTATACTATTATAATAAAGCGTAAACACACACTTCTTTGTTACCTAAGATGTCAGCAATTCCAGCATATTTTCGAATAATCCTTTCTTTAATAAAAAGCCCTACACTTACGTCATGCTTTAGGCTATATATTTTCACGCCAATAAACTTAGGGGGTAATAAGTTGCTGCCAACATCAAGAAAGCAAGATTACTAAGGTTTGTCATGTCAATGATAATTTGACACATGTAAATAATAAAGTTAAATTTTCATAATTTAATGCGGATGAAGTCGCACGGGAACAGCTAGTACTAATATACAGAGGGAAGATTTTTATTTTTGTATATAATTAACGTAAAACTACTGGTCCAAATTTAAAAATTCTTTCACCACTACAATGGTTATTTATCTGTAACATAAGCTATGTTTTTTATTGTTTTATTTCACGCGGATGAAGTCGCCAGTATCATATTCTATATGACGTAACTCATCTTGATACTTGGTACTCATTAACCTATATAAATTAAAATAAATATTTGTAAATTTGTCTTGTTTGTGACAAGAATGTGTTTAGGTACTGCTCTCTTTATTATTAACAGATTAGTATAAAACTAATAAAATAGTATTTTTTTGTTCTCGCTCATTGTTTTATAGAATTTAAATTGCTTTTACGCAATCAATTTAAATCTTCTAATATAATAGAACCTCGATACATAAACTTTCACTACAATTGATACCGATATGTGATCTTATAACGCAATCTTTTATGTTAAAAGTGAAAATTGATCAAAACGACTCCGTCATGCTACACTACGGTTTTACACAACAAATTGTAAATACTGAGAATTTCATTTTAATCTGTGCATTACGCTCTATTTTCTCAAAGAGGAATAGACAGTAAGATTATAGAGGAGATACGAATATTTAAGAAAAAGTATCCGTTACGTCATCTACAAGTAGTAGATTTATCGACCATAAAGTATACTAAAATAAATCATACATGTCAAAATACTTGCTTAAATATACGTGTTAGATCCCTAGTGTCATTTCAAGTGACAATAACGTACAACCAACAACGTTTATTCCTGTACTCATAGAGTATTTATTTACCAACATTCATTTTATGTACAATCGTGGAAATCCGCGATGTTACTCTTACAGAAAAATAGTCGTGTCTCTTGCAACACGACACCGCCTTTTACAAACAACCAATTAGGTAGAAAAAAGCAAAAACGACGGGATAGTAATAAAATTAGCTGTTTACTGACTGATCTTTTTTGTATAGACACTTTAAAAGTACATCCTACTTGTCGAGTCTTAATGCATTCAAAACATTCAAACGACTGTAGCTTTAAAGGTGGACAACGCCAGATTAACCGATTGTACATTTAGCAATAATCGTAGACTAGTACCGGTTCTAAATAAACTCTGCGTGTTAATAAATCTCTCAAATATCCTGTTAACTAAAACGGTAATACTAACGGTTTATTTCCTGACGCTATATTATTCGCCAGAGCGTGTAAGACCTGTGATATATTCGTAACTGATGACCCTTATTATCTTTATTTGCTACATAATGTACGTTTTGTTATGTTGAAGACTGTAACTAAAACTATGTTCTTTGTCTTAAACATAAAAGAATTTAATACATAACAATACAATAAGATAAACTACACTCAATGCCAAAAGTAAATGGTAAATTTTTTACTATCTTGGGAATTATTATAGTTTAGTAAACAATATGCATTAATATTTATGATTTATTGTATATTTTATAATACGTTAGTTCGTTTTTATCTCAGAAAAATATAAATGGTAACTCTAACTTAAATATTATAGAAAATATTTTAATCTTAAAAGTGTACTGCTTTTTTTGACGTTGAGTGTATTTTTTATCATAACTGTTTACTATAAAAAATCATTTTATATTCCAGTGGTGGTCAACAACGTCGGGTGTCATTCGCTGTGGCATTGATGCATGATCCGGAACTGCTTATCCTGGACGAGCCGACTGTCGGCGTGGACCCCCTACTGCGTCAGTCCATCTGGACACATCTCGTGCAGATCACCAGCTCCGGAGACAAGACTGTCATCATCACGACACATTACATCGAGGAGGCGCGACAGGCGCATTGTGTAAGTTTAATAGACTAGCTGTTGCTCGCGACTTCGTGCACGTGAAATTAAAAAAATATAGCCCATGTCTGTCGGCGATAAAGCAGCTTTTTAATGGTAATGTTTTTTAAATCGGCCTAGTTTTTGTGTTACTTCAATACATACAAAAATCCAAGTCTTACCTCTTTTTAATATTAGTATACATTACCAGTAATATTGTCAGTCTAATTTTCTTTAAAAATCACGGAAAAAATGCTTTCGTGCAGGAATTAAGTTGGAGAATTAACTTAGAAATATTTTCTTTAAAACCGTCGTATTTTTTAAACACGATCGATGTTTTTAACGAGTAATTTAAACTAAATATTTCAATTATTCATTCTTTCGTATTTTAAGTATTTCATAAGAATTCAGTCAAGAATGAAATCATTTTAAAAATTTGATTATATATAAATAAAATAATTTATTTGGACTATCTTTTGCCTGTAGGTACGTCGAAAAACCATGCAAAACCTAACATGTGGTACTATAAAAGGTTTGAAATAATTTTCCAGATCGGTCTCATGCGCAGCGGACGGCTGCTCGCCGAGGAGTCGCCACAAGCTCTGCTCACGATGTACAGTTGTATCTCCCTTGAAGATGTCTTCCTTAAACTGTCAAGAAAACAGGGTTAGTAAACATAATCGCTAATATTCCCTCTAGATAATATAATATTTATAAATGTATAGCGAATTCTCACAGTGTTCACAAAAATGGACAATGCAAACGATCTAAATAACCTCCAATATTTAAAAATATAGCTCTTAGCTATATGGCTTAGTTTATATTATTCCATTCCAGTGGTCAATTCCAGTAATGGATTTGTTTACCAGACTGGAATAAACTAGGTATTAAAGTTGGAATGATCCACGCAAGGTTTTTATTTCTTAAAGCATCAGGCAAAGGTACATTGGCGTTCTGCCATCTTAACCAATGACATTGTAGATTCCAAGGCAAACGGCCATTGGCAATAAACTATTGAATATGTTAACGAATTACTACAAAAAAATCAAAGGCCGGAAATATCTAGACAAGCAAAAAACCGAAAGAGTTGACATTAATTTTTTTAGCAAAAAAACTACTAACTTATTTGTTAAACATGATAAAAAAGCTGTACAGACCTACAAATAAACGCACTATAAAGAAAACTTTGGACTAATATTTGCTTATACTCAGTTTATTCCTAAGTTTAACTTGATACCGTATTTATTTGTAAGACTGGTAGAGTTTTAACAATCGCAAAACAGTTGTGCGATTGTCGATTGTTTCGCAGCCAATTCAACTTTTTAGCACAACTAAAAATCGTGTATAACCTCCAAATAAGCTCTAGGAATCAAAGCGAAATAAAATAGTTGTGCGCGCGTTTTAATACGTCAGACGTCAATTAATCGTGACATGACATCACAGATTAAATATTGACATCTCTTGTCTGGTACACGTCATTATTGCGTTGTTATTACGTGTTTCGTTTGAAATCCGTGATTTAAATCCACTGTCGTGTATTGTTGATATGTATTGCTGATTCTTTCATTCTCTTTGACAAAATAGGGACAGCAATATTTATTAATACAAGCACGGCAATGGAGTTACATAATGTACAAACAATATGCAAATCATATTTTTTGCGAAACCTCGCTTGAGGAAATCGTTAATGGAAATATTTGACGTTGGTAAAACAACGATTTCGACATATCAGGAAATGTTCAACATTTTTAACGTATTGTATTAATTTAGTTACTAGGTACTTCCTAGTACATAATAAATTAATAAAATAGATATTTTTATGTGAAAGAATTAATTACAAAGTAATCTATGCAACGTTAAAATTATATTTAAAATCGATTCTATAAATAATTCAGATTTAAAATGTCATTGCTGAGTTAACCATAGATAAACATTATGTGTCCTTTATTTTTATATAATGGCAAAGATTCGATCTTTTTACCAACATAATTCAGTATATAATTAAGAGAGTTTTAACTATATTTTAAGAAGTTAAATACTTGATATATTTTTCTTACAAGGTTATGATTTTTTTACAGAATTATTACGTAAAGGTAATATTAATTTAATTTTAACATATACTAAAACAAAAAGATTTAATTTTTAAATTCACTTATCTTTTAAATTCACGATATTTTCCAAGTAAACAAACATAAATCAAAAAGTACGAAAATACAAATTTCCAGGTACACCTGATACTTCTGCAGGTAAGAAATAAATAGGGATTTTTCTATTATTGCCGTCCTTTTCTTTCTATTTGAATAAACAAAGACAACAATATGTTTAATACAGGTGTGTCGGCAGTCGCTGATGGTAATTGTACATTACGTTCTACAATCGAAATACATGGTTAAAAAATAATTATTCAAAAATATATTGTGATTACTAATATTCCGCTGTCACCAGGTCAAGCCAACCAAGTGGTGGAGCTGAACGTATCAGGAGGTGCGCTGGGCCTGAACAAGATGTGCAAACGGGAGGAGGCGCCGTACGCGGCAGAAGACGCTCAGGTCGTCGGACTCAACTTCCACCAAAGCAAGGAAGTCCTCATCGTTGATAATGGCGCCGGCTCTAACGGAGATGTAAGTTGTATTCTTGTAAACGTTTAGTAATACGTGTTTAATCACACGCAATCAAAAGTCAAACAAAGAGCAAATCATACTAATATTATAAATACGAAAATTTAGATGGATGTTTGTTAGAGTTTGTAGCACTGCTGAACTGGTCTCAGTGAAATTTGGCATAGATATAGAAAGTAGTTTGGAAGAACACATAAAGTACTTGGTTTTGTTTTATTTAATACCACGCGGATGGAGTCGCGGGCGAAAGCTAGTAAGTAATAAAATGAAAGATGACAGTCATCCGAGCATAGAGTATAAAAAATGTATTGGCAAAGACTAAGTAACATCAACCCCCAGCGTTTCATATCAAACAAAAGTAATTATTGACTAAGAGCAGTTTGGTTTTACTAAGAAAATCTTGGTAATTAACCATTAATTTTTAATTGATGTAATTAAAAAATAAGGAAGTTTGATGCGTTTGTTTTTATTATAGACTAACCAAAAATATAGAATCTTTTTCACGCAAGAAAATAAATTACTAAATTAGTATAAATTAGTAAAAATACTATATTAGTATCTTAATTTTTAAACATGTACCTGTTCTATTTGATAAAAGATTGAGATATTGAAAGTGTTTTTTTTTCTCTTTATTTGTATAGGGACTTTGGTTCCCGTATTATAAGAGTGTTAGTACGGTAAAACTTAACATTTTCTTAAATGTTCTATCCTGTTTGTTGCAGATTCCCGGCAAAATGACGGAAGTTGTTACGACAGAATGCGAAGAGTGTGGAGACTGCTTAAATGTGAGTAAACTTCTAAAGATTTTTAAAAACATCGTCTTACAAAACTATTGTAAATAATAAGACTGTATATATAACTTAAATTATCTTAACTAATAAGCTATAAGTATTTTTTTTTATTTTAAATTTCCTTTTTTCATTGCATATTGTTGTATCTTGTTTCGACTGTAATATTAAAACAAAGAGATTCAATAATATATAGAGTGGGCATAGTTGACACTTTACTTGAAACATTTTTCACATAATCTTACTAACGCTACCTGGTGTCCGATAGTCAAAATCACAAATAATTCAAACATTGAGAAGCGTCTCGACGTGTCAGAGATATTACCCGTAAAAATTGTATTATTCCCAACCGTCACCCCGATCTGTCCCAACGTGGAAACAGATGAGAATAAAAAGTTATCGTCACACCTATTGCGACGAGAGCCGGTTGGAACTTATTTTGTTTTATAACGGTTCCATCTATCACCTTATTGGTGATAGATAGGACTAAAAGGCGGGACAGATGATTTTATTCTCACGTGGGGACAGAGCGGGGTGACGGTTGGGCATTATCCTAGAAATTTTATGTCTAGTCTATGTATTCCTTAAATGTCTGTACTAAATGCTTGTTCTTTGTCTCTTAGCTGACATCTCGCGGCAAAATAAAGGCGTTAATCCAGAAGAACTTCCTGCGGATGTGGCGCAACATCGGCGTGATGCTGTTCATCTTCGCGCTGCCAGTCATGCAGGTCATCCTCTTCTGCCTCGCCATCGGACGAGACCCCAGCGGACTCAAGATTGTAAGTCACTCATTTTACGTACAAATCCACTTGCCTTTGTCCCTAGGGTTGACAGAATTCATACTCCTCTTCCATACATCTCTATACACAGTGGCGGAGCCCGCTTTAACATCTTCGCACGAATGGGTCGTCTCGCCCGGTGTAATACCACGACCACACAGAAAACAGGCGTGAAGTGGGAGCAATTCCGCGTTTCGTCTGATGAGTTTGGTGTCGAAGGCCTAATTTTAGGCCTTTTCCCTTTCCTTCCTTTTCTTAAGTGGTGGTGATGGCAAGTAAAAGTGGATTTGTAGGTGGAGGAGACGCATAGAAAGGGGAAATGTCCCCTGCTATGTGCGTCTTCTCCTGCGACAATGAAGGGTAGGCACCGTATCTGCAATTGCGGATGTTTTTTGGGCAGACGTCGCTCTCCATTTCGATGGATTCAGGTGGCCGGTTGCTCGTTTGCCACCTTATACTATTAATAAAAAAAATACACTCAAATCTGAATTCACTCCCTTAAGAATATCCTTCACACAATCCATACATATTTCAGTCTTCCTCTACCTTTGTAGCTTACATTTAAACTTAATACTTTATTATTTACTAGCTGTTGCTCGCGGCTTCGTCTGCGTGGAGTTAGATAGCAAAAACTAGTGTAGTTAGTGATAAGATAGCTTTTTAATGGTGCAAGAACTTTTGAAATCGGTCCAGTAGTTTTTGATTTATTTTAATAGATATCGAAATACAAATCTTTCCTCTTTATATTAGTATAGAAGACGCTGTTACTTTAAAAGTCTTTTCAATATTTGTAAGTTATTAATTGTGTTTTCCAGGCGATAGTAAACGACGACGTGAATGTAATGGACGGCTACTGTCCGTACAACTCGTCGTGCTCCATGAAGAACCTGTCGTGCCGCTACCTCGACCACCTGAAGAACCAGTCCATCATCAAGCAGTACTACTTCGACGTGCAGTCCGCCATCCAGGCGGTGAAGGACGGCGACGCTTGGGGCGCCATCTACTTCAACGAGAACTACACCGACGCTCTCGTCGCTAGACTGGCTCTAGGTAACTTATTACTAGCTATTGCTCGCGACTTAGTCCGCGTCAAATTAAAATATATCCCCTATGTTACTCACAGATAAATTACCATTCTACCAGTAAAGGAAATTTTAAAATCGGCTCTATAGTTTTTGAGTTATTTTAATACAAATAAGCACAATAAAATACAAAAAAGCAAATCTTTTCTCTTTATAATATTAGTATAGGTTAGGTAATTAACTTTATTAGGGCTGGACCTAGAGTAAGGGGTCCGCCCAGGGCGCTGGACAGAAAAGGGGCCACAAGACTGTGAAATATTTTGTCTCTTCCTTATTTACACCTCCCAAATCAAGTGCCAAAAAAGGGGTCGTCGTAAAAATCTCTTTGCGCTAGTAATGCTAAAACTGGTACTGTATCTTTCAAAGTAAAAGATTAAAAACATCTCAATTTTTGAATTTTGTAAAATAGCGCCATCTATCGAAAAGGGCGATTGGTAATACCAGTTCTGTGAAATCTGGATGAGCCGAGCTTCTGCCTTCGAGTCTGGATATATTTTTCAATGTCCATTAAAATATATATCGATTAATAAATAAGTATTTAATTAAAAAGATTTGTTGCTTCTTTTATTGAATTATAGTTATTATTGTTGTGGTAATAAAGTACATATTTGCGTGCAGCGGACACGGCCGACAACGACACGATCGTGTCGTCGGAGGTGCAAGTGTGGCTCGACATGTCCAACCAACAGATCGGCCTCATGCTCAACAGGGACATACAGTTCTCGTATCGAGACTTTGCCAAGGTAAATATCACAATAAAACTTTCATCTGACTTTGTGTGAAAATCCATTGCGTAATTTTGAAGATCTAAACATACAGACAAGGGGGAAATACTTTGCTTTATATGTATAGTGATATCAATAAATAGTTTATACTAGCTGATGCTCCTGACTTCGTCTGCGTGGAATTAAAAAAAAGGTAAATAGCCTATTTGTTCTTCCAGACTATACTCTACATCTATGCCAAATGACATTTAGACTACAAAAATCCATCCATCTAAACTTTCGCATTTATAATATTAGGATTAGCGATAAACCGTTTATATTCAAACGGAAACCATATTTTGTAATTCAATAGTCAATAAACAGTTTGTAATAACATTTGTATATATTCCAGGACCTATTAGAGACGTGCAACTACAACCCGAAGGTGGGCGACATCCCCATCGACTTCAAGGACCCCATCTACGGAGACATCAACCCTTCCTTCACTGACTTCGTCGCGCCCGGAGTTATTCTCACGTAAGCATTAACTAAAATCACTTGCACAACATTTTTAATATGAAAATTATGCTTTACCGTTATTGTAAATTTCATTAAAACCGTTTTGTTTTAATTTTAATTATTGATTTAATATTTCTTAAACTCTACAGTTATTTCTTTCTACTTAACAGTAAAGATATATTCTTAATAAACGCTTTACAGCTCTTTATTTTCTATTTAATTTTTATCTACACTTGCTGTTCTCGTGCGGTATTTTGCATAGTATTACGAGTACATCGACTGTATTTTATTGTTCATATTTGTCAAATTTTCAATTGCAAATTACCGTTACCATAATAATCTTGCTTCCTTAATGTTGGCAGCTTGTAGTTTATGGTCCCTTTCACACGTGGAGATTTTTTCCAATTTATTTACTTCTAAATTTAATACCGTGAACAATTAGCCTAAAGCGTGTTATAAGCAAGACTTTCTATTAAAGAAAGATTTATTCAAAAATATACTGTGATTACAGACATCTTCTGCCACAAAGTATTAAAAGAAATTAAAAAAAATCACTATAGCCTATGTAACTTGCAGATAAATTACCTAACGGTGTAAGAATTTTTAAAATTGATTTAGTAATTATTCAGCATATTACAATCAAACAATGTCCTCTTTATAATATTAGTATAGATAACTGGTCGGTGCCTACACAGAAAGTTCCCACGTGAGTTTTAGCCGTGTTATCTTACTAATATTATAAATGCGAAAGTTTGTTAGCGTTTGTAGCCTAAACGGCTGAACGGATCTCCATGAAATTCGGCACAGGTTTAGAGCATAGTCTGGAAGAACATATAGGCTACTTTTTATCCCGGGAATAGTTACGGTTTCCGTGGGATTCATTAATTTAGTTTTTTTATGTTTACTCGATCATTCTGCAACGGTTCAACATATCTTATTGAAATTTGGCACAGATATAAAACAAAGTCATATGGGATAAGCTTAATCCCCGAGAAATGTCCGGTTCCCGAGGGATACGTAGCTTTTTGTAATTTATATAGTTTGTATGTTTTCTAATACCACGCGGACGAAGTCGCGG